GTTTCTGCCTTTTTAATTTACCTTTTTTAAGCTTTTCTTTGAACAATCGTTGAATCGAGGGTTTATCGGATAAGGTCTGACTACATATTATCCCATATGGGATTCCACGAAATTTGTTGTTGTTGCTTTTCCAATGAACAATCAACGGTGTTTAGAATATAATACAGATTTAACTTTATAACAAAGATTTAGTAACTAAAAACTAGGAGGTGCCAGTGAGGAGGTCCATATCATGACTATCTTCCATTATTACAGATTCTTTGATCTCTTGTATCATCTTTAACACTTGCCACATTGTAGGTCTTTGCTCTGGTGAAGTCACTCTACAAGCCATAGCAACTTCTAGAAGCATTTCCAACTTATTATCTTCTCCACTTCCGTCATGATCTTCTCTAGTAGATTTCACCCAATGGATCATATCATCTGGCATTAAATATGGATGTTCTGAGGGATGTTTTCCTGTTAAAAGCTCAAGCAAAAGAATGCCAAATGAATATACATCGGACTTGGCACTGGCTTGGCGTTGCTGGTGGTGGTTGTGACTCAACTTTCGAATTTCTGGAGCTTTGTAGGCTGCAGAATCGGGGTCGTCGTCGTCCGAGGGGATGGCGAGGACCGAGAGGCAATAGTCGGCTATGCAGGCCTCGAAATCGGAGCCGAGGAGGACGTTAGAAGACTTGAGATTGCCATGAACAAGCCTCCATGCTTGGTGAATGTAGGAAAGTCCTTGAGCTACGTCCTCGGCTATTTTCAAGCATGAAGTCCAGTGAAGTGGCTTTGCTCTTGATGACTTGGAACCTGAACACGTGGCACATTGACCAGTCAAAGTACGTTTCAGATGCCACGTCAGATTGACCAAGTTTTGAAAACTAACTAAATTCAACAANTGTTTCGGATGCCACGTCAGATCGACCAAGTTTGATAAAACTAACTAAATTCAATAAAGAATAATTATAAGGCTTTGTATTAAATATGCGACGGTGGTACTGAACATGCAATAACAGTATTCTTTATTACTTGAGCAATGCCGAGAGCTGACACCCACAATACTATTAACTTCAAGTTACGCAATCACACGTGAAACAAAATTAAAGTTATATTCTTAAATCAGATTAAATAAGTTTAATAACACTACTACCTATGATTAGGACACTAAACAAACATAAAAATATTTTACGAAGATAGAAATCGGTTTCCAATGTCGTCAGGGTCAGCTGCAAGATGCTCTGTGTCTGTGAAAACCTTGGGGTTGAGGAAGGGCGGAGGCAGAAACTGAGTGTTATTTTTATCCATATAGGTACAATAATAATATTAATGGCGATATAATTAACTTTAGAATAACTTGTTTCCGACCAAAAGACCCTCAATTCTATCATAACCAAGCCCTTTCCAAGAACAATTTAAAACCAAAAACAAAAATGACGAAGAAGAAAAGAAGAAAATCTAAGATATTGTCCCTACATTACATATAGCGTAGGCATTTTATTCCGACAAATTAAGTTAGACTAATTACAGCGAAACCAATAATAGTTCTGATATCCCAATCTATCCATTTCAATTCTTTTTCTCATTCACATTAATGTCATGTTCTCTTTACGTTCATTTATTGAAGATTAAGAATAAACAGAAGTAGGCTCAAATCCGGCGAAAGCAAAATATTGGATCATTTCTTTTCATCTATTTAAGCTTTGAAGGATAGAATTATTTAATACCAATGCTGGTGAATTACTCCAGTAAGCGTATTAGAAAAAAAAGGAATAAGAACAAATAGAAAAGGAACGTACCATGAACAAGAGAGAACAAGCTACCATTGGGCTGATAATCATAGACCAAAAGCCTTTCTTCCCTTGCCTGAAAATACGCCCGAAGTGGAACCAAATTCGGGTGCCTAAGCCCGCCCACTGATTCCATATGCTGCTCAAACTCTTCCTTACTTGTACCCGCTAATCTCCCACCATCCAATCTCTTCACACAAACAATCAAACGGTTATCAAGCACTGCTTTATAAGTGGTCCCCATTGTCCCTCTACCCAAAAGCTCAGCAGAAGCTCTCATCAGCTGCTCCAGCGTATACACCTGCACCTCACCTGCACAGAACATTAAGCTCCCACTTTTCCCAATCACTTGCTGCATTCCTTGTTGCACTCTTTTCACCTTCTCTTCTAACTCATTATTGTCTTCTTCAATCCTCATTACTGCTTCTGCATTGCCACTAACACTTGGATCAAATGCACCTTTCTGAGTTTTTTCGCCCAATTTTTTCGAGTTCTTGTGCTTTTTCGTCGCTAATGCTAATAATATTACTGAACATATAAGGACTAAACAAGCTGTGGAAACCCCAATAATGAGTAAATATCTTTTATGGGTTTTGTTTTCTTTACTTTTTAAAGCAACCCCATTTTGTAAATCCTCGTTTTGGCCGAGTTCTGCTGGAGTTTTTGGTGGCGGCGGTTTAATTTTGGTAGCGGCGTCAGTAGACGGGCTGAAAAAGGGTTGTATTGGACGGCATTCTTTGTGTATGATTTCGCCACAAAGTCCTTTATTATCTGAGAACGATGCCGTTTTAAACCGGGATAGTGTTTTAGTTACTGGAATAGGACCGGAGAGGGTATTGTGAGAAATGTTAAAGATTTGAAGTGAAGATTGGTTCAGCGGTGGAACTGAACCGTTTATCCGGTTCGAGTCAAGCCGGAGATAGTACAACCGGTTCAAGTTGTTGACTGAAATGGGTAATGAACCGGTGAGATTGTTGTAGGACAGATCAAGAGTTTTGAGCCTGTGAAGAGTAAATATAGAAAGTGGTATTGAACCAGTGAATAAATTATGGTCAAGGAAAAGAACTTTGAGATTAACAAGGGAAGAAAGATCAGGAATGGGACCAGTAAGTGAGTTATTTTGAAGACTCAAAACACGTAGTTGATCAAGTTTAGACAATGTATTAGGAGGAAATATACCACCTAAGCTTAAACCTTCAAATGTAACACGAACCACTTTCTTTTCTGCACATTGTACACCTTTCCATTTGCAGAATCTGAAGCTTTTATTAGCAGAAAACTCAAGTTTGTTTCCTAAGTCAGCTTTGTATTTGAATGCTAACAATGCTGAAGCATCTGAAGGAACTAACAAACTAGTGGAAGGGGATTGTAAATGAGAAGAACCAGTGGCTAAAGAAGATAAACATAAGAGATTAACAACTACTACTAAGAGTTGATGTATTTTCATCTTCTCTCAGTGCGAGAAGGGAAAAGAGTTGTTGGGGGTTCAAAGATTGAATTTTTACGACCCTTTTTTTGGTTTTCTTTTCTTTGCTAGCTCTATAATGTAGCAATGGTCTTACATTATGCAGAGAGGTTTAGAGGTGCAATACGTGACAAAAGAGGTGAAAGACTGAAGAGAGGATATGGCAAAGGCACAGTCAGATTCACGTGAAGATATATGGGAAAGAAAAAGAGAAATGAAAGTGAAAAAAAGGAGGGTGGGGACTTCCAATATTAGCCTGGCTACTTCTCTCTCTGTTTCTGTGTCAGCCATGGCCATCTGTGAAAATTATTATAGTAGTACTACACTACTCAGTAGCTTCTGTTGTTTTTGGAGTCGTATTTGATACGTTGTCAACTGAAATAGTATCTGGTCCATCACAAAATCGGTCGTTTTATGGGTACTCTATTATGTTAACCAAATTGATTAGGAAAATTCTTTAGTGGGCCATCTCATATTTTAGTGTAAAAATTGCGTGGAACGCCCCTTTTTAATCTGTAGCCGCTTTATTTTTCTATTTGTATTTGTACCTGTTTTTTTATTAAAAGCCTTTTAAAAAGACTATTTTGCCCTTTTTTATTAAAAGACTACTTTCTCTTCAAGTATATGCTAGTCATCTACTGTCTTTGTCTCTCTCTCCCGTTATTCGCGTTTTTTGATTTGTTCTTCTCTGAAATCAAACGGTTTTCGTCGTTGTTTTTTATTTTTCAACTGCTAGTCGTCGTTGTTCCCAACATTACGATTTAATCACAGGTACATTGCATTAACTTTCTGGGTTTTATTTTAGTATTAATCTTTACGATTTAATTTCTAGTTTTAGTTTTGATAGTCATGTATTTATGATAAAATAGTTTCTTAGGGTTTATTTGATAAGTGCATTAGTTTTACTTTTACGATTGTGTTTTTAGGTTTTTTGAACGAGTGTTTGTGTCATTGATGAAAATTCTATAAATTCTTCAGTGATTAGACGTCAAAACTTTTAAAAATTTTGAGAGTTAAATAGATGATACTATTAAAGTGTGAAGTTTATAATAGTTCAATGATACCTTAGATATGAGCTGAAATTTTTTCATGTTTTGGCATTATTTTTGGATTTGAATTTGTGTTTTGTGTTTTGTAAAAACTACATCATGTTTTTTTGCTGAATGTTTTGTTTTGTAACTGGTGAACTTCAGCTCTAGAGCTGAAGTTTTTGTTTTTGTAATGTCGAACTTCAGCTCTAGAGCTGAAGTTTTTGTTTTGTAACTGTGGAACTTCAGCCTTCTTAGAGATTGAAGTTTTAACTGATCTTTTTGATAATGTCTTGATATTATTTTTTGTAACTTTTACTCTTTTTTTTAACAGATGGCACCTAAAGCATCTAAAGATCCTAATGCATCTAACTAAATCGATAATTATTTTGTTTTCAAGTTAGTTGATGCTGATTATATGAATTTTATTATCTTTATTTAAATTATTTAAATTTAATAATCAATATTTGAGGTTTTCTAAGATAATTCTAACTGGTCGGCACCGTTTATACAAATATTTTGCTTCATACTATATTTANTTCCTGATTTTTTTGAATTTTTTCTGTTATTTCACTCCTTTTCTCCATTTATTTCTAATAGTACTTTATTAGCCCACTACTCCAAATAATAACTGCTATTAAAATGCTACTAAACATCCCAAACATTAAGCCCACTAACCGTTTTGTTTTACCCTTTCACGATAAAATTCTAATTTGCCCTTTTTTTGTTTCCTCTTAACACACCCCACGTTTCACAGCTTCATGCCAAGGTAAAATCCCTTCTTCAGTTTATGGAATGTTGTAGTCGTTTGATTTTTTCTACTATCTTCTCCTAATAATTCTCCATTTATCCTCATAATTCCTAATTACAATGATATTTATTGTGTATTAATTTCTAATTATTAAATTGATGATTAATCTTCTGCCTATTGATACTCTTTTTTGATGGATTATATATAGATGGTGATGAATGTTATTCATACTGTAACTAGCTTGCTTTCTCTTGCTTTTCATTATTTTCTTAGAATGACATACTCTTTTCTTTCAGAGTTAGGTCTTCAATTAGTTGATAAGGGTTAGAATTTGCAGAATGTAGGATTCTTTTAATCTCAAGAAAATGGAGAGTTGATTGACTTGGATATGATATTTATTGACGAAAAGGTACCTTCATGATTCTTATACTTTTATACACAGATTCTCTTCGTGTCTTTTCATCTCAAAATATTTACGTCTTTTCTTTTATCAGGAAAATTTGATGCATGCTACAATCAACAAGAAATTAAATAACAAGTTCAACGATAAGTTGACCAAAGGTTCTTTGTTTGTTATCAAAAAGTTCAAAGTTGTTGAAAGTACTGGTGGATATAGGCCTGTTGAAAGTAATTTTAAAATTATTTTTTTACTTAAAACCGCCGTCAAAAGTCTAGAGGAAGATATTGTTAGTATTCTTGTAAATGGATTTCACTTTATCACACCAGATATGATTGACTCAAGGGTGAACAATAATACTGTGTTATCAAGTATATTTATTAAAAAATCTATATTTTTTTTAAATATTCATGTAATTCTAAAATAACAACTTTCTGCTCTTCATTTGTAGATGTGGTGCGTTGTTTGTGCGGAGTTGGAGACATGGAGACTGCTGGCTCGAGGTGGAAAAAAAGGGGCATCCATATTATTACTGATTAGTGAGTCGCTTCCCATTTTATGTTCCTTTAATTTGTAAATCTTCCAGAACTTTCATTTCCTATTATGTTTCAATGCCTCTTCCTCAAATGTGCGGTCTTGGTAGAGTAAAACCTTTCAAACAAATTTGTTAGTTTGGTTCGGGGAGTAAAACCTTTCAAACAAATCTGTTAATTTGGTTTGGAGAAAATAGGATTCCTGTCTATAGGAACCAATATTGCCTAAACTAAAAAAATTCACCTGCTCTTTTACCAATTATTCTATTGCATATATCTTTTGATTATATTTACATGAATCATATGAATTTTTCTTCTATTAGTGTCCGATCCATTATTTTGTTGTAGTTCTGTCAAATCAAAAATTACTTTATGGGAAGAACTTGGTGAGAAATTTGATCCTTATTTGTACAAGAGGGATTCTGACCCGTATATCGTGATAGTAACCGCTACAACAGTTAAAGAATTCAGTGGTAATTGTTTTAGATTTAATGATTAAAGTTATCTACTCTGATACATTGAACATTATAATGAAGCTATTAATTATTGCATTCATTGTCAATAGGTGAGGTTAGCTTCGCCACCAGCTACGCAAGCAAAATATATGTGAATCTCAATGTAGACTACATAATTTCTTTGATCCAAAAGTTTGCGACCATGTCTGCTGGAGTACAAACTATTGAACGCTCTAATGTTAACAACATTCCGATTGAGGAAGAGATGTTTTTGAACAGGATGAACATCAAGGAGTTGTTGGATTATGACTGGAGTCCTGAACTAGAGGTTATTTTCCTATTTTGCTTCTTAAGTTTTCTTTTTCTCAAAATTTTAAGATGCCGCTAATATATAGTCTTTTAAATGGTAGGAATACATTGTTATCATGAGGGGAGAGACTACAAAAATAGACAACCGTTTTGGTTGGTATTATATTTCATACAATGCGTGTTCAAAGAAGATCGAACCTGTTAATGGTGTCTATAATTGCTCGATTTGCAACAAAAAATGCAAGTTTCCCTTGGTGAAGTAAGGAACCAATTTGTAATGTGAATTTGATTCATGTTGTTATCTAAACTAACTTATTTTGTAAAATAAGGTATAAGATACACGTAAAAGTTAAAGACAAAACTGGGGAGAGCAGTGTTGTCCTATTTAATGTTGAGAGAAGCTACTTGATACATCAGCTCACAAGTTGTTCAGCAGGCTGTCATCATCGGATAACAATGATGTACCTGCCCAAATCCAAAGCCTTATCGGAAAAGATTTTATTTTCAAGCTAAAATTAAACAGTTACAATTTGCAAGAGGGGCTTGAAAATTTTACCGTATCAAAGATTTTCATTCTTGTTGAAAATTTGGAAATGCAATACCAATCGAGGAAAGATAAGAAGGTAGTGTTATCAGTTATGTACTTTATAAGAACTTTTAATCCATAATTGTATTGGACATGTATAAATATCTATAAATAAGCTTTATTTTTGTTGCTTTTGTAGGGAAAAAGCTTATTGGGGGATGAAAAAGAACCAGAGGAGCGACAGTCAAAAAGATTAATAAAAAAAAGGTAAGTTGATTTACAGTTTAATAGGTATCTGAATAACCTATCTTTTTCAGATTTAAAATTGGACATGTTTAATAGATATGTGAACTTTTCTTTTTAAGAACCAAACAGGCTGCCGATGTCTCATTGGATAACTTGGAACACTCTGGCAAAGATCAACATGTTAATGATGTTGTAAAGAATAGAAAGAGAAGAAACATAATCATAGATGACGATGAATTTAGCGATGGAGACACCAATATTTGCAAACAGAAGAGTCTTTAGCATTGCTTCTAGCATATTGTGTTAGCTTAAATAAAAGTGTTTGGACTTCTTTTACTTTTCTGTTTAGTGTCAACAGTAGATATGCATTAATGAATTTGTCTGTTATTGTCATTTAACTTTTATTAGAAGTGATGATATCCACACTTGTATGGTTTAACTTTCAATTAATCCTATTTGGTTAGCGAGTGTGGTTGTTTGTAATGCTGCGAAGAATCCTGTTAAAGTTGTTCTTGGAACAAAATTATAAAAGAAAATCTTTTGATGCAACAAAGATATAATAAAGAAGAATAGCAATAAAAGGATTAGAGAAACAGAAATGGAGAGAGCATCTTACTATGATAAGTCTAATATGCAACATGGTTGTGTAAGAATTGTTTATGCTATATCTAGCATTGCCAAACATTGCCAAGAAGCAAGGTTAAGGACAAGTGCATACACTGCATCCCAAAACTCCCAACTGTAGAAGTCGGGTGACACTAAATTAGCATGCAACCAAATGTAGGTTTCTCATGAGGTTACAGAGGTTTTCCATTCCATATTTTTTAAATTGTATTTTATTCTGTTGATTTGGACAAATTAATGAGTGCATTCAGATCTAAAGGATATAAAGGAGGAGAGGTTTCAACATGACAAAATAAGGATTTTAACGGGAAAAAAGTGGCAGTGCGGCCATAAAGGAGGCAGAGGTGATGGCAACAAAGGCAGAACTGTAGAGATGCGCCAATCGATCTTTTTCTTTTATGTGCTTTCTCTCTATGATTTTTTTTTATTTGTACGAAAGAGAAGGATTGTATCTTTTTATTTTCATTTTTAATTTTGTAACCTATTTTCCGTTTCAAACCGGTTACCAACGGTTGGCATCCTTTAAATTTTGAGCCAAAGCCTTGTATATGAATGTGGATTCTGATTAATGAGCGGAGGTTCTTACTCTTTCTCTTTTCTTTTCTTTCACAAAATTAATGATTAATTTTGTGACACTCCATACTTTGCTATTATTTAAATATGCCATGTACGTTTTAATTTGCTCTCATTTTTACCCAGCAGACCAGTCGGTTACGAATACTTTGAGATACTTTTATCACATTTTGCTTCGTAATACTAACTTCTTTGTGATTACTCTATTATGGTCACCTTTATTATTTTATTTTATTTTGTTATAATTTTTTTAGTCCATTTATTCTTCTAGATTGTAGTTGAGGACATTATGAGTAATAGCATATTTTTGCTTCAACAAAATTTCAAGAATATCTCATCATTTTTGAAATTTTATAGATGTATTTTAAGGCCGCGCGAAGCGCGGATCATTTCACTAGTTGAAAATAAAAAGAAGAGAAACAAGTGATTTGTTGTATTAGCCTTCAGCTTGTATTGCTAAAGTTTTTAGAGATTAACTAAAAAACTTCAGCACCTAATGCTGAAGTTTTTGTGCAATATGAAATTTTAATTTATTTTTTATTTTTTACCCAGTGTAGGAGGAAAATTTCAGCTCGTCTTGCTGAAGTTTTTAAAGATTAACTAAAAAACTTCAGTACCTAATGCTGAAGTTTTTGTGCAATATGAAATTTTAATTTATGTTTTATTTTTTACCCAGTGTAGGAGGAAAACTTTAGCTCGTCTTGCTGAAGTTTTTAAAGATTAACTAAAAAACTTCAGTACCTAATGCTGAAGTTTTTGTGCAATATGAAATTTTAATTTATGTTTTATTTTTTACCCAGTGTAGGAGGAAAACTTTAGCTCGTCTTGCTGAAGTTTTTAAAGATTAACTAAAAAGCTTCAGCACCTATGCTGGAGTTTTTTGTGCAATATGTAATTTTAATTTATATTTTATTTTTTTTACCCAGTGTAGGAGGAAAACTCCAACTAGTATTGCTGAAGGTTTTAAAAGTTAATTAAAAAACTTCAGCACCTAATGCTGAAGTTTTTGTGCATTATGAAATTTTAATTTATGTTTTATTTTTTACTCAGTGCATGAGGAAAACCTCAGCTCGTCTTGCTGAAGTTTTTAAAGATTAACTAACAAACTTCAGCACCTATCCTGAAGTTTTGCTAAAGGTGTAAATACTTTAAAACTTCAGCTCGTTTTGCTGAATTTTTTAAATATGAACTAAATAACTTCCGCTTATTTAGCAAATAAACAAGACATATACTTCAGCATATGTAAAGGCTCAGCTTGTTTAGCAAATAAACCAAAAATTTCAGCATATTATGTAGTGGAAAACTTCAACATATTTAAATTTGTCGGATTAGAATGTTAATTCAACGTCAAACAGATTTAGAATGCAAATTCAGCATATCAGTGAAGTTCGTCAAACAACTTCAATCAATCAATCAGAAAACATATATCATGAAATCAACCAGTTTCAAAAACTCTTTTGAATTCTAAAGATGAATTTGAATACTTACAATGTATTTTGTAATTTTGAATCTGGTTCAAATCTGGTTTGTGAGAGGCGATATGAGGAAATACGGAGGCGATCTGGAATTTAAATCTGGTATGCTTGATGCATCTTTTATATGTTTTGGAAGGGGTATAATGGTCATATTATTACAGATTTTTTGTTAGTTGGTTACAAAATTAATAATTTTTAAAAATAAGGTATAGGTTAAAAGGTGACATAAATATAGGGTATGACTGCAAATCACCCAATTTTAGTTGTATGAAGTTGAGGTCTGTTCTTCATGGGTAACATGGTCCAGTGATAAGATTATATACTTGACTGTTGGCCCATTCTTGATTGGGCTTGCCATTAATAATTGATCTAATTACGATTTTTGAGTAAAAATTGTGTGGGGTAGCCACTATTAAAGTTATATTTACTTTTTATTCATTATTTTTAATACTGAACAAAGGTAGCCACTAGTCTATTAAAATTAATATAAAAAGACTGAGTTACATTTTCCTTCCCAAACGAAATTACAGTGGATTGGAAAGACCGGGTGGGCGGAGCTAGACTTGGCGGCGATACAAGCAATAAGTAGAAGTCTCTTTTTCAGTATTTGAAGAAGAAAAGAAAAGAGATTAACAAAATTGTCAAATCAAATACCGGAAAAGAGACTTCTACCAATTTGTTAATCTCTTTTTCTTCTTTAATACTCCTACTAATTAACGTTGACCTTAGTCTTTCAATTGTTATTGCCAGTAGCGAAGCCAGGAATTTTGTCAAGGATGTTCAAACTTGAAATAAGTAAAAAAAATAATGCGACAAAAGGTGTTCAATACATGTTATGTACCTCTAAAATCTAATAGTTTACCTATATAAGCAGCGCAATTTTCCGACAAAAGGTGGTCAGTTGACCACCCTAACCCAAGTGTGCCTTCGCCCCTGGTTATTGCACGGTGTTGAGCCAACTGAAGTTTCTTAGCCCCTTCTATGGCAAGAATGGGAGAATTTCTGTTCAAAAAGTTCTGTTTAAATTTCTCTCTGTTATTATCAGTTTAATTTGTGTTCTGAAGATTAGCCTTTTGGTTAGGCATCATAAAAAAAATTATAAAGAAGAAGGAAATCAAAAGTTAAGGACACTTAGTCCTGAACTTAAACTAACAAGCTCAAAAGTTAAAGGACAATAGGTCCTGAACTTACAGTTACAAGTTCAAAAGTTAAGGACAATAGGTCCTGAAGTCCTGAACTTAGACTAACAAGTTCAAAAGTTAAGGACAATAGGTCCTGAACTTAGGTTAAGAAGCCCAAAAGTTAAGGACAATAGGTCCTGAACTTAGACTAACAAGCTCAACAGTTAAGGACACTTGGTCCTGAACTTACAGTTACAAGTTCAAAAGTTAAGGACATGCAGTCCTTAAATTACAATTACAAGTTCAAAAGTTAAGGACAATAGGTCCTTAACTTTGATTTCTAAGTTCAAAAGTTAAGGACAGACAGTCCTTAACTTACAGTTACACGTTCAAAAGTTAAGGACAAGTAGTCATTAACTTACAGTTACAAGTTCAAAAGTTAAGGACAATAGGTCCTTAACTTTGACTTACAAGTTCAAAAGTTAAGGACGCTTGGTCCTGAAGTTTGAGTTCCAAGTTCAAAAGTTAAGGACATGTAGCCTTGAAGTCCTGAACTTAGAGTTACAAGTTCAAAAGTTAAGGACAATAGGTCCTTAACTTTGACTTACAAGTTCAAAAGTTAAGGACGCTTGGTCCTGAAGTTTGAGTTCCAAGTTCAAAAGTTAAGGACATGTAGCCTTGAAGTCCTGAACCTAGAGTTTCAAGTTCAAAAGTTAAGGACATGTAGCCTTGAAGTCCTGAACTTAGAGTTACAAGTTCAAAAGTTAAGGACATGTAGTCCTGAAGTCCTGAACTTAGAGTTCCAAGTTCAAAAGTTAAGGACATGTAGTCCCGAAGTCTTGAAGTTAAGTACAAATGTTAAGGACATGAGCAGAAGGGTATTTTCGTCCGGGCAGTTAAAGTTTATTAAAGCAGTGACTAAAGGCTAAAGACATTTTAAACGGTGGCTTAAAAGTAAATACATGTGTTATTAGTGGCCACCCGTGCACTTCCCCCGATTTTTGAGATGGCCTAATTAATTAGATTTGAGTTAACCCCACAGCGATCGAAAGTATGCAATTCACAAATTACTAGCCAATTTATTTTTGAAGTAAAATGAGAATTGATAAATTCAGAACTTAGATGAAGTGTCATGATTAAATCAGAAATTAGATCAAATATATGTATTTTGACTTTGGAAAGCGAAACGTGACAATCCTTTGAGCCAAGATGGGTGTTACGAATGATAACGGAGTGCAACAAAACGTTACTTATGTGATCCCCCCTCGACAACTATTTTGGGCCTAGCCTGGCTTGTGGGACTTATGAATGATTTTTAAGCACGGAGGAATTACAGCATATACTGTTGACATGTCTTTCTTTTACGAAAATTTAAAAGGAAATATCATTCTATTAGTCATTATGCTGCTAAACATCTCCTCCACTGTTGTCAAGGAGAAAGGGGATCAAATGAATGAACTAGAAATGGCAATATTGATGATTCACTGCAGCTTCCTCTTTCATACCCTGCCTATTTCTAGCCAGAAATTTGCATGTGCAGCACTATATGTAACTTTCACCTAATAGTTCCCGGATTTGATAAGTCAATCCCAAGAGGTAAGAGCACTGTTCCAAACTACTTTATAAGATGATCTAGCTGGGGCTCTTCACTACTTTGAACTTCGGAAGCTTGTGATCTAAAAAAGTTTAAGATATCACAACCTGTCAGATGAACCACCATTAAAACCGTCATTTACCCGCGCGGGGCAGAGGAGGTGGTTGGGGTTTACTCATTATTAGTATGGATTTAAATTATACACTCGGATAATGTGAAAACCTGACATTATGCACCCTATTAAACGCCAATTTGAAGTGACTATCGATAGGAACGTAAAGTGGTTATGTAAAAAATAAGATAGTTACATGTTACAACTGAGCTAATTTCAATAGTGTGTAAAAAACTGATACAAGCTTAAATTCAACAATTCATGTGCATTGTGTGAAAGCTTGTAAACAAAGGTTAATAATGCTGTGATCTGCGTTTAAGAGATGAACTTCGATGAAAAGCGTTAAGTATGTTGGAAGAAAATGTTGTGCTTATCTATAACACAAAATAATAATATGTCTAGTTCCTGGAACAATTAATAAAGTTTACTTCTGTTCACTGAAGGAAAAAAAGAAGAAATAAACTTTATGAAATGAAGTGGATATATCACTACATATTCCGCAATGGTGTATGAGTTTGCCGGAGCCTAGGGTCTCTTACATCTCTTATTAGTCGCTTTCAATTCTGAATCCACCATGCATTATTATTGAGCTAGGAATCATCTTTACTTTATATGCAATGCAAGGGCCACTCAGACATCTCGGGTCTCTTACATCTCTTATCTAGCTGTTTGAGTACTGCTTGTCATTACACTTGCTAAAACTCTTGTTTCAAGATGATTTGGCTTGAGGTACTTGACATGTGATGAAAATACTGAGGAATTCATAGATTATGGCATGTGTAACTATATTATTTAAGTAATTACTCAAAGAGACCTCTGCTTCTGTCCATCTTAGCTATTTAAAAGAGCATCTACTCACTGACAAGTTAATTTTACATAAGCATTTACCCATCAGGGTTCAACTAAGTTTTGCACGAGTCATATATAGTCAGCATGTTTGTGCACTATAAGTGAGGGTGGCAAACAGGGCGGGGCCTTTAAGGTTACATAAGCATTTGACCCAAAAGGCATTTTATAGCCTATAAGTTTGTTTACATTTGACTTCCCATAATAGTTAACTAAAGCTACAGAGGCATACTCCAAAAAGACAGTCATCAGTCACTGCATCAACACATTGTTCATTAGTAAATTTATATTTGACTTTCCATAAGGCAGAATGGTCTGGGAGACACTTGTACTTGTTCCGGATTGTCCTCCCGGTCCCTATACTCCACAAAGTTTCTTCCAGACACCTCAACTTGATCAAAATAAGACTTTTAAACCCCTTCGGATTCGTGTGATGCTCACTTGCTTGATGTGGATGACAAATCAGCATCCACGTCAGATTCTATGCCAAAATAATAATTAAATTTTCATAATTTAACAAAATTCTAATTTCATAAATAAAAAAATAAAAGGAGAAAGCCAAACAATTAAAATTAAAGAAAACCCCCTCCTTTCTTCTTCAAACTCATCTTCTTTAAAGAATCACGCCACCTGCCATGGCTCCTCCGCCATGGGTACCACCACCTCCAATATCAATTCTTCTTACTTATAATCTCACCTTCACTCCTCTTTTAAAGAAAGTTATCCATCCATGAAAAATCCTCGTAAAATACATGAGCAGACAATTAATTCTTTTGAATTTTGACTTATTCCTCTACCCCAACTTGGAGGGATGTGAAAAAAATTGTAAGCTTAGTGTAACGACCTGGCTAGTTGTTTCGAGAGTTGTAGCCCTGTTACTCATTTTCTGCTCCTTTGTGCTCTACAGCTGTTATATGACTTACCGGGTTGGTTGGTTCGGGTCCGAAGAGATTTCAGAGTGAATTGAGACACTTAGTCTCATAATTGAAAGCTTAAGTTGGAAAAGTTGACCGGATGTTGACTTATGTGTAAACGACTCCAGAATGGAGTTTTGATGGTTCCGTTAGCTCTGTTAGGTGATTTTGGACTTAGGGGCGCGTTCGAATTGTGATTTGGAGGTTCATAATTAGGCTTGAAATGGCGAAAATAGGAATTTTTGGAAAGTTTGACCGGGAGTGAACTTTTTGATATCGGGGTTGGATTGCTCTTGGAATTGGAACAAATTCGGCAGCGGATCGCGAAATCTGATGGGGGAATTCTTACTATCCATGGAGATGCTGATAGGGAGACGACTTTCTTCGAGGTGAAGGATGACAAATTCTGGAAGTTGGAGTAGGTCCGTGGTGTCATTTGTAACTTGTGTGCAAAATTTGTAGTCAATCGGACGTGATTTGATAGGTTTCGACGTTGTTTGTCGAATTTGGACATTTCAAAGTTCATTAGGCTTGAATCCACGTGCAATTCGTGTTTTTGATGTTGTTTGAGGTGATTTGAGGGTTCGACTAAGTTGTATGATGTTTTGGAACTTGATGGTATGTTTGGTTGAGGTCTCGAGGGCCTCGGTGTGAGTTTCGGGTGGTTAACGGATCATTTCTGGACTTAGCTTGATGGCTGAAGATTGCTGGTGTAAATTTTTGGTTTCTTCTTACGCGTTCGCGAGAGAGGTCTCGCGTTCGCGAAACGCATCTATTGGCTGAGAAAGTTTTGTTCTTCGCGTTCGCGAAGAAGAGGACGTGAATGCGAAGGTTTGGACTGAGAGTGAATCGCGAACTCAAGGGGGCGAACGCGTTCGCGAAGAAGAAATGAGGCAGCTGGGGACCCCAAACTTTTGGCCTACGCATTCGCGAGGGTGAGGCCGTGTTCAGGATGAGAGGGGTCAGTAAAGCTACGCGTTCGCGAGTGGTTTAACGCGTTCGTGTAGAAGGATTTTGGTCAGAGGCAATATTGTGCTTCGCGAACGCGAGGGTTCTTCCGCGTTCGCGAAGGAGGCATACCGTGGGAATTATGACTTGGTCCCTTCCGTGGAACTGTAAAGTTGAATAACTTCTTGTTAGTTGTATGCTCTCCATGTGTTATAGAAATTTGACTGCAAATCATGTTAGAAATCATGTTTAGGCTATGTGTTGGTACCGTAGGGACCTACAGAGGCCGTGATACCTGTTGAATTACTTGTTAATTGCTACTTGTACTCAGTCGTAGTCTTACTTGCATATATTACCTCAATCTCTATTATTCCTTGTTGATACGTTATATCACTTCTGTTTTGGGCTGATTTCCATGATTACTGAGAGCCCGTGAGACTAGAGAGGTTGATGACGGAGTGAGGCTGGGGGCCTGATCGTGAGATATTGATACCATAGCATGTGAGTTGTCTGTGTGGATCTAGATATTTATACTGTAGCACGTGAGTTGTCCATGCGGATCCTGATATGATATTATAGCGCGTGAGTTGTCCGTACGAAGATAACGCTTGGGTTGTAGGAGCCTCTTCGGAGTCTTTACACTCCCCGTGAGCGCAAGTATCTATTGAGTGCGAGTATTGAGGACTGAGTGCCGAGTGATGAACTATTGAGAAAGGCTGAGTGATTGTTGCCTTGACAGACTGTATTTACGTTCATTGCTGTTGCACACAACTGCTATATGTCACTGTTTTGAAACTTCTGGGAGATATTATATCCGATTTTTGCTTGAACTTGACATGAATAAACTGATTTGACTTAAATTGCCGAATTTGAAAGCATGCCTACTTTCTTTTATTGAGACTACTGAAAAATGAACTATAACTATGTAGCTCGTCACTATCTTCAGTTCTTTATTTAGTATTGTTACTTACTGAGTTGGTTGTACTCACGCAACACCCTGCACTTCGTGTGCAGATCCAGGTATTTCTGGACACGGTGGATGTTGATCTTTCGCACGGTTGATCGTCGGAGACTTCGAGGTAGCTGCCCGGCGTTCGCAGTCCTTGTTTCTCCTTCCTTATCATTTTCTTTTATTGTATTTTGATCCAGACTTCCATAGACATTTCTTTTCTAGACTGGTGATATATAGACGTTCATGAGCTTAGTGACACCCCGATTTGGGAGTTGTTTTCCGCATTTGTGTTTTGGGTTCTTACCCCGTTTTTATGAAAACTTTGGTTATTTAAAATTACTTGATTCATTTTCTGTTAAATGTTGGAAATGTCGGCTTGCCTAGTATCACGATAGGCACCATCACGACAGGTAGGATTTGGGTCGTGACACTTAGTCCATCGGAAAATATGGAAGAGCCACATAGAAGGGGAAGATGACATGATGGAAGAAAAAATACATACCAAGGAAAAAATCTAACGAAGAAGAATCACTCATTTAAAAGTCTTGTTTTGATCAAGTTGAGGTGTCTGGATGAAACTTTGTGGAGTATAGGGACCGGGATGACAATCTGGAACAACTACAAGGATTTCCCAGGCTATTGTGCCCTTTCCATAATAGTAAAGTAAACCTACTAAGCCATACTACAGAAAGACAGTCAGTGCGTTAACACATTGTTCTGCTTAAGATTTCCAAGTTTTAATATTAAGCAAGCACATGCGTGCTGACTTTAAGCCTCACCTGCAACCTAATTTAACCAATGTATCTATCTCTTTACCGTAGCATATTACATAATCAATAGCACTCAAATAATTCAAATAGAGGTAGCTCGGAGATCATACCAGATTAACATTTCCATCTTAAAAGATGACTTCTGCTCGAGGTGATGACCTTCCGAATTTCGTAACCTGTTTCATTATATCGATCAATGTTTGCTTAGATAATGTGCAAGTCTCAATAATCATTGTCTCCAACAACGGAGACTTGGCCAACAGAAGCTTGATCAATTCAATCTCAGGCTTTGTGCCACTAATTGCTTTCAGTTTAACTTTGGTAAGCTGATTCAGCTTTATGTCAGAATAGTATTCAGCTTCCAAAAATTCCTGAGCAGGAAGTTCATCTCCTTTGTCATTAAATGTCTGAAGAAAGATCACAAAATGAGGAAAAGAACACAATAAACTAGAACATACAGCGAGAGGAAACCAAAGGAAAAGGAGGAATTAAATCAAGTTAGTTGTTTCAAACCTCAATTTCAATTTCTTCTAAATATGGGGAACTTCTAATCAAGCAAAGAAGACAGCAAACTTCATCAAATCCACTTAGACAAATATCGAACAGGTAAAACTGTCGAAGAGAGAGAAGAGGCATGGGAAGCCTTACTGGGATTTCATCTAGTCCTGCTATCATGGCCTTCCAAAGAAAATACTAAAGTCAGGGCAGCAGAGACATGGTGTGTGAAAGAACATGATAAATATTATTAGTTCCATTCACTTTTACCTTGATAATACATATATCCAAGCGGAGATCCTTAACAGCAGGCAAGGAACCAAAAAACTCGGCAAAATCACATTTTCCTCTCTCCACAGAAGATCCATGATCTAAAGGATGTCCCATTGCTATTGCAACATCAGCAAGAAGAGTGGTATTCTTGAAACATAAAGAATTTATTTTGCTTCCAAAGTAAAAGTATCTTAATTGAGGAGCATTGACTTCGATAAAGTTCAAGGGGTCTAAGATTTCCAGCTCCAGACACTCGAGAAGTGGGCAACAAGAGATTAAATTCTCAAGCGATTTGGCAGAAATAGCGACGTTAAACAATTTCAGACAAAGTAGCCTACTAAATTCTTCAAAGGAAGGTGGTGGATTGATTTGACAATGGTGCAGAACCAAATACCTCACCTTTGAACACGTGAAAATTGCAGGGGGCAATTTGTATTTTTCACCTCCGGAAGTTCAAGAACGAGAGACTCGACCCCATTCTTTTACAGGAAAAACATAAAGTTGTCAATCTCAGGGCAATCTTTCAGATCAGGAATGGAGAGTATACACTTAGTAATTGGTCCTTGATGAAGTGACAAGAGCTGATAGAGAATCACTGCAAATTTAACTCTAGTAGTTGATATGTTTTGCTTGGTTTCTTTCCACAGTGTGTGATCAAGTGTTAGTTTTGGAAGTTTGACCCAGTTATACCGCCATTTCCTCGACAAGATACTAGTCCTAACAGCATCTCGCAGGGGCAAACACATTAAAATGGCATTAATCACATCGCCTGGAAGGTTGCTAATTATATCAGAAGATTTTCGGCGTGACACTTCTGTGATTTTTGATTCCATCATTCTTGGGAATCAATAGAGGAATCTGGGGACAATAGAAGCAATAATTATAAAGCAAGGAACTTGCAAACCATACTGGAATAACATGTTGCAACTTTGAGAAGCAAAACCAGGGTAGCAACCAATAGATATTATTTCCATTCCTAAATATAGTTATAACAATGACACTACTCATTTCTTTTAATTAAGCACATACATGAACCTATCCATAAATGTTTTTCAGACCAGTTGGATCAAATGATTAGTGGCCCGGATTAACAAAGAAAATAAATATTGACTACATCATATAATGTTTTCCAGATGACAAACTAGCATATTTTACTAATAAATCTGCGCCAAATTTTTACACATACATGGAGCAAAGAACTGAGTCAAAAATTGAATTACAATACCAAGCTAAAGAATTTGCTATAAGAGAATTTTGTTCATGTTTAGGTGCTTTTATCTAAATAGATTGCTAATACACAATTCATATACCACTATAACATAAATAATACATACATTACTGCATAAAGTTTATACTGAAACTCATACATCAAATCAAACGAGCCCTCATTAGCCTAAAACATAGTACCTTAGACCTTAAAATGCAAAATTCAATTCCAAGCTAATACAGATTGTCGACCTAATAAAACTGAAAATTCTATCATACCAATACTTAAAAAAATTAAAAATTGAACGGTATTCACAGAGAGAATCACTTTCAAACTCTGTTAGACCATGAATTGAAAAATTTGAAAAGAAAAGACGAAAAAAAATTACACCAGAAGCCTTATGTTCACAATTGTAAACTTGAAATTCTACGAATGGAAACCAGACAGAGAGGAAAATATCTGAACGCAAGGGAAAAGTAGAACATACCGATTTTGATTCTGTCCGAGAGGGAACTTGAGGAGTTCGCTATAACGCCATCTCCAACCTTACCCCATCCCCATAATGGAAAACTTTCGGGGAATTTAGCTTACAACCCTCCTCCATTTTTATAATAGTGTTCCATCAAATATGCTACACTATTCATCTCTCCGTTACTATTCATTAATTATTTTTTATTATTTTATTATTTAATTTATCTCTTTATATATACCTAATTATGTTTATGTAATATCTTTATAATATTAATACTATATCTTAACTTTGGTGTATAATTTTGATAAATTAATTTTCGTGCATTTATTATTTTTTTATAAAATTTAAGTGAGAATTGGCGCTCATTTGCTTGTTTACCTTCCAATACGCTACAAATTAAGTTGGGCTTAGGCCCAAGTTTTTACATTTAAATGAGTGCTGGATTTGCAGGAATAGTGTAGTTTCACGCCAGTATTTCTTGACTGGGCCTGTGATCTTATTTTGCCTGGTGATTTGCAAGAACGGCCTTCGAAGCAGGTGATCTTGATTTTTTAACCGGCCGAACTTCAACTTTAACAAGTGTTGCCCTTCGAAGCAGTCAAACTTCTCTATAACAGGCTCGTTTGTTCCGAATATTTTTGGATGTTATAGCGAATTACTGTTATAGAAAACATATATTATAATAGAGCAAGAGATTTGGTTCCAAAAAAAATTGGTTTTTATAGAGAAGTGTTGTTATATAAGTATGTTATTATAGAGAGGTCTGTACTTTTGACTTATGACCTTAATGATTTGCCCATGGGGCAAGTGAGGATCAAAATATTAAGACCATCAATTTTTAAGGTCATCAGGTGTTATGTCCTGTATTTGGCCAGGCATCTTCTAAGGCGAGGGGGTAGGGAGGTATATATCCTCTATTACCGAAGATATACTCCCCACGGTCCGGGTGGACTGCAACTGGGAGGGAAAGGAGGTGGCTCTTTCTGGGTCCGATGAGGACATCACCACTCAGGTGGAGAGGTATTTAAGTGTTTACACTTATCTGTTCACGCTCACCCCGGTGGACCCTATAATTCTTGGCTTCTGTAGAAGGTACAAGTTCTTCCTTGGGCAGATTCACCTAGCCCTCCTCATATCCTCGCCTATTTGAATTCTAGCCAGAACTTCGCATGTACAAGACAAGCATTATATCAGTTGGATGTATCATCATTACATATTCCGCAATGTGTACGACAGTATGAGTTTGTCGGAGCCTCGGCTCTCTTACGCATCTATTATCAGTCGCTTTCAATCTGAATCCACTTAAACACAACATGCCTCCCTCTGATCAAATTTTCCTCGAAATTCGTTATTAATAACTTTTAGTCTAAGATGCACTTGAATACTAATGCTACTGATATATATTCCCCCCTATTTTTAAAATATTGACATTATTACTATTTGCAAAGTCTACGAGATTGCTATTTGACCACGTTTTCTTATATATGTATGGGTCAAAATTATATCATAGAAATTCGGTATGCGGAGATATAAGGTCGAGATCGGATAGGTCGAGGTCGGACAATTGTCAATAATCGAGGACGGACAAGCCGAGGTCGGACAGTCATTACTAAGGTCGAGGTCGGACAGTGATGAAATAACTAGTTTGCTTTGGAATCCTCAAAGAGAATATTCTACTAAATATTCCCTCTAATGTACTTATTTAGGATTTTCTATGGATACCCCTTATAAATAGGAAGAGAGGACCTCTAATTGTACTCGACTATGTTTTTCTATTCATATTATTCATCTCGGATCAAGAGTTAATTATCTTTAACTAGGATTTACTCTTTCATTTTCTTTGATTGATTTGTTTAAAAAAGTTTTAGTATCTTTTGAGTCAAACAATTTGGCTCTGTCTGTGGGAATTTTCTAGTTAAAACTTTAGTTTCCTCTAGATCTAGAATTCAATTCTAGTTCCACGTTCTGTTCATGGTAGATATTTCCTAGTACAACTGTCTACCATAACATGGAAAGAAGGAATCGTGATTTCAAGAAATCGTTTTTGCTACACAATGAGTACTTTCCTTGATTCTCAGCTTTTTATCTTGATTTGCAACTTGTGTTAGTTCCGTTAAGAAACTCTTTTGTGGTTTGGGTTTTTCCAATATTTTCCCTCGATTATCAAGTGGCACTGTAATTTCAGAAAGCCATTTATTAAGTAAAATTTAGTAGAAAGCTCCACAGGAAAAATGGACCAAAACATTATTAGTCTAAAGAAGGATATACTGGTTGGACCTACATATCTTAACTTGGTAACAGAATTTTTGTTGGTTGACATTATCCTTGAACTACTACACCATCCACGCGATGAAATATGCATTATCCAAGGATCCTTAGTTGACAAACGACAAGCGTCAGTAAGCCTTGTGAGACGGAGAACCAAACACCAAAAATGGAACCTCTCTGCCCATATCTCACAGACCCATCTGAGCTGCCATACCAAGTTACAGTTTATTCAACTCAATGGAAACATATGTTTCATCTTCCGGAGAAGATAAAATCTTCATAGCCTCTACAACAAACCCAATAGTAGACATAAAACTTTACTAAAGTAGACAGCCACGCCAAATTGGTAGCGGCCACTGAAAACATAACCGGAGGAGGGAATGCGGTCACTCCTCTCCACTCGTCGACCGATCAAATCGAGGTAACGAACGCTTTAATTTGTTTTAACTGACTATTTCTCTAAGTGGAATAAAAGCAGGAGCAATCACCCAGGAAACGCATTGTACTCTCCAATGCAAGCAAAATTTAGCCAACTGGGACTCACCCAAGAAACGCAGCAGCTAAGCAAACTGACTCCCCCAGGAAATGCATCATATTCTCCAGCGCAAGCAAAATTAAGCAAATTGGGACTCCCCCAGGAAATACATCATATTCTCCAGCGCAAGCAAAATTAAGCAAACTGGGACTCCCCCAGGAAATGCATCATATTCTTCAATTAAAGCAAAATTAAGCAAATTGGGACTCCCCCAGGGAACACCCTTTAAGGCCAAGGGCCATCGCCAAAAAAGAGAAGGTCGACCCCTACGGCCAAGAGCCATCGCCAAAAAATAAGAGGTCAACCCTTACGGCCAACGGCCATTAACAAAAAAGAGGAGGTCGACCCCTTACAGCTAAGAGCCATCGCCAAAAAAGAGGAGGTCGACCCCTACGGCCAAGAGCCATCACCAAAAAAGAGGAGGTCGACCTCGTACGGCCAAGGGCCATCGCCAAAAAAGAGGAGGTCGACCCCTATGGCCAAGAGCCATCGCCAAAAAAGAGGAGGTCGACCCCTTACGGCCAAGGGCCATTGCCAAAAAAGAGAACGTCGACCCCTTACGGCCAAGAGTCATCGCCAAAAAAGAGGAGGTCGACCCCTACAGCCAAGGGCCATCGCCAAAAAGAGAAGGTCGACCCCATTCGAACCACAACGGGTTAACATTTCGACAAGCTCGAAATAACACCCCGTACGGCCAAGAGCCATCGCAAAAAAAGATGAGGTCAACCACGTACGGCCAAGGGCCATCGCCAAAAAAAAGGAGGTCGACCCCTTACGGCCAAGGGCCATCGCCAAAAAAGAGGAGGTCGACCCCTTACGGCCAAAAGCCATCGCCAAAAAAGAGGAGGTCGACCTTGTACGGCCAAGGGCCATCGCCAAAAAAGAGGAGGTCGACCCCTACGGCCAAGAGTCATCGCCAAAAAGAGGAGGCCGACCCCTACGGCCAAGGGCCATAGCTAAAAAAGAGGAGGTCGACCCCTTACGACCAAAAGCCATCGCCAAAAAAGAGGAGGTCGACCCCTATGGCCAAGGGCCATCGCCAAAAAGAGGAAGTCAACCTCGTTTGAATCACGACGGGTAAACATTTCGACAAGCTCGAAATAACACTTCGTACGGTCAAGGGCCATCGCCAAAAAAGAGGAGGTCGACCCCTTACGGCCAAGGGCCATCGCCAAAAAAGAGGAGGTCGACCCTTTACGACCAAGAGCCATCGCCAAAAAAGAGGAGGTCAACCCCTACGGCAAAGGGCCATCCCCCAAAAGAGGAGATCGACCTCGTTCAAATCACGACGGGTTAACATTTCGACAAGCTCGAAATAAAACCTCGTACGGCTAAGGGACATCGCCAAAAAAGAGGAGGTCGACCACTACGACCAATAGCCATCGCCAAAAAAGAGGAGGTCGACCCCTACGGCTAAGGGCCATCGCCAAAAAGAGGAGGTCAACCCCTTACGGCCACGGGCCATCGCCAAAAAGAGGAGGTCGACCCCTTACGACCAAGAGTCATCGCCAAAAAAGATGAGGCTGACCCCTACGGCCAAGGGCCATTGCTAAAAAGAGGAGACCGACCTCGTTCGACCCACAACGGGTTAACATTTTGACAAGCTGGAAATAACACCTCGTACGGCCAAGGGCCATCGCCAAAAAAGACGAGGTCGGCCCCTACGGCCAAGAGCCATCGCCAAAAAAGAGGAGGTCGACCCCTACGGCCAAGGGCCATTACCAAAAAAGAGGAGGTCGACCCCTTACGGCCAAGGGCCATCGCCAAAAAATAGGAGGTCGACCCGTTACGGCCAAGAGCCATCGCCAAAAAAGAGGAGGTCGACCCCTACGGCCAAGGGCCATCGCCAAAAAGAGGAGGTCGACCTCGTTCGAACCACGACGGGTTAACATTTCTACAAGCTCGAAATAACACCCCTACGGCCAAAGGCCATTGCCAAAAAGAAGAATTCGGCCTCGTCCAAATCAATATTCGACCTCGACCAAACCAACCTTCGGCCTCGACCGAATCAACCTTCGACCTCGTCCGAATTCACATTCGGCGACCTTGCCCGAATTCTCATTCGGCCTACTCGCCCGTCCAGATCCGAGGACGCGAATAACCTCCTCCGATGCCACCATCCCGGCCTCGACGGCCTTCCCCAACTCTACCGTCTTCTCGATCGACTCATCACTCGAGTCATTGGCCCTGATTGAACTCTGCTAAAGTTCAGCCCGCGGGGATACCACTTTGACCTAAAGATCGGCACCCTCACCCGCGATCCACACTAGTCAACCTCCCCATCTGAATTTCTTGG